AAAAAAAATTATCTTCAGAAGTGCTCAAAGAACAGCAACTTGACCCTGTACCTGTTAGGACAGTTCTCCCTTTGTCATGAATTATCACTGCAGAGGATTCTGGGGGCTCTAAGGAAGTTTTGGTACGTTTGCTTTCTTGCTAGGCACTGTTTCCAAGAGATTAAGAGGACATGTTGGCTCGTATACCCTTCTGAAGGAGCATAAACGGTATTCAGGAAGTGATGCCAGGCCTACAGATACAAATCAGTGGATACAGGACAGAGAGAGCTTTCTGAGCTGGCTCCTCCACAGACACCCAAGATCTGAGAGGGACTGGGTTTTCGATGGACATCTGGTAGAGAACTACAGAAGACTAGGAAAAATGTGAGGGAGCCATGCCAGTAAGAAAAAAGAATGAAGTAAAAAGAAAAGAGTGCCTGTTTGAAATAACAGAAAATAACACAAATTGGAGCTTCAGGGGGCCACACTAGTACGAAGCATCTTCATATTAGTTTAGATTTTCCAGCCACTCTGGGAGAAGTGAAGACGTTCTAGAAACAGTCTACCCTACAAACACTTTGTTCAAATTAAGTACCATTGTTTTCATAGCAAATTTAAGTTCAAAAGCAATGGTGTATGGCTTGATCACATTAAAGGCAAATTAGAACATTTCGAGTCTGCACAGAACCAAACCAACTTTATACTATTCTCGGGTAAAAGGTAAATTGTAACTTTGAATGAAAACACCAATAGAAGTTATCTAAAAATAAAAATAAGTACCTTAAAAAGTACAAAGAAAAACTGGAATAAATATATTTTCATCTTTCAACAAAAATGAATTTTAGGTGTTTTTTTTGCAACAAACATTGGGCAGTCAGTATAAAATATTCTGTTTGAGGATAAAGTGAGAAACATGGGGGAAAACAGGGTAGTGTTTGAGGATATAAATACCCAATGACGTTTCACTCTGAAAAACATTGTATCAAGGATTGTAATTCCCTTGGTTAACACCAAATAGTTTGCTCAACACTGTGAGTCAAATGACAGTTTATCAAGGTTTAAAAATCAACTCCAAAATACTGGCTACTGTTTCAACCAAGTGTATGTAAGAAGTGTCTATGTTAAGATAGTGCCTGCCATGTAAGAGTAGTTTTTGTTTTCTTTTTTTCTCACACCCCCTACCCGTAGTATTTGTCATCATCTCCCCCCGCCCCCCCAGACAGGGTTTCTCTGTGTAGCTTTGGAGCTTGTCCTGGAACTCGCTCTGTAGATCAGGCCAGTCTCAAACTCACATAGATCCACCTGCCTCTGCCTCCCAAGTGCTGGGATTAAAGGAGTGCGCCACCAATGCCTTAATGATCAAATTAACAGCCAGGTAGTTTTTACCTTACCAAAACTGACTTTTATCTAACCAAAAGCAACCACAGAAGTATGGCATGTGACCCTTGTTCTGTTTTAGAAAGCACCCACAGGCCCCTTCTCGGGGGAGAGAGCAGTGGACAGCACGAGACATTATCACTGTTGCAGCAGCAGAGACCATGCATCCTCTCACTCTGGCTCTTAGTTCCCTTCCCTAATTAACCCCAGGGCCTTCTGCATGCTGAGCAAACATTCTGTCATTGAGTGGCATGTTCAGTCCACATCTGAGCTAAATTTCTACAAAGACTCCCAGAAAAGATTTTTAGAAGAATGATTTAAGGGGGAGAAAAAGGTAAACTATGGGTTAGTGAGATGACTTGGCTTGTAAAGGGCCTGCCATGAAAGCCTGACCCTGAGTTCATTCCCCGGACCTATCAGTGGACAGAGAACCGACTCCATGAAGTTGTTCCCTGACCTCTACACACATGCCATGGTACTTGTACCCAATATACACATCCCACACATACAATAATAATAATAATACATAAATACTTAAGAAAGCAAAGTGCAACTGTGGTACTAGATTATTTTAAGCCTATATGTGGCCAATTTCTAATTTTAAAAAAAATGTGACATTATTTTCCTTAAAATTATTTGAAAAGCTTCTAAATTCATTTCCCTTGAATAGACAGATGTTCTAAACAGAAAACAAGATACCTATTTACAACAAGAGAATTTCTTCTGAGTTGTTACAAGTTAGACAGTCAACTTTTGCCTATAGGACCACAACACAATAAACTCAAAAAGGGTTTGCTGGACAGGCTAGATAGTTTAACAAACAATCATGAAACCCAAGATGAGGAGGAAGAGGGTGGGGAGCAGAGACTACCAAGGGTACTGGGAGTGGGTATTTCAGAGTCTTACAGCAATTTAGGGTGGGGAGAACTTAAGATTTTTCTGACAAGGGACCACTGATACACCTTGAAACCACTTTCACAGAGCATAATGAGATCAGCTGAGGCACCTTCTATAGGCACTTGAACTACAGAACTGGATGAGAAAAGACTCAGTAATTTAAAAAAAGAAAAAAGAAAGAAACAGGCCAGCTAGACTCAGTAATTTAAAAAAAGAAAAAAGAAAAAAAAAAAAAGAAAGAAAGAAACAGGCCAGTTAGCAATATTACCCACATCAGGCTCTGTGTTTTTTTCTGAGTCACAGTTTGAGTCATATAAAAGAGAAACTGGCCCCAGAGAGGAGGAGAGTTTCTCACAGTTTGCCATTTAAACCTCCAATGACCATGTTTCACAGCAGGCTCAATACATTCCAGCATGTAACTGCATTTTAATTTCCTAAAACCACAGGACATAAGTGTGATTTCAAATAGTGTCTGGATTGTAATACTCAATATTGATTAAAACTATACAATATTGTCTTCAAAGTTCCAAAGTCACAACACATGGAAAATGATCTTCATTTGCTTGAAAGCACTACTCTCAAAGACATTTACTCTGACAGTAAATGAATTCTAAACAATAAATAGCTAACAACCAGAGTGTCTTCCCTGAGGGATAGAACCTAGTAGAATACAGGAAATAACATGCTATGTGTTCATCACGCCCATAATACAGTGTCTTCTTGATAACAGTAGGCAATGCAAGACTAAACTGCTTTTGCTATGAAATGCTTATTAGCATTTGTTTTGGAAAAGAATTTTCAAATCTATAAACTGATTGAGTATTTACTTGCATACCCTTTCCATGCATGGAAATGACTCAGTCACTTTTTCAACTTCACAAAACATGGAGAACTTAATGGTCACTTTCATCAGTACTACTATTTAGTTGGAAGGAAATTGCTATTAGTGAATATGAAATAATTCAACAAGATGGTCAGCAACTTTCATTATAAGCTGCTGACCTGGAAAAGGCAAAGAGGAGAATGTTTTCTGAGCTATGGACAGTGGGTAATTACGGGCTTTCCTCTCCAACACAACTGGCGTTGGCTAAGGCTCTGATGCCAAAGCCAACTGACAAATTCAATGTTTGTTTTAAAGCAAGATTATCTGTTTGATCAGTAAAGTATAATTTAGAATGAAATAATCCCATTAACAATTTGAGGTGTGGGATTCAAGTCCTGGCAAGGAAACCTGGGGCAGTACCAGAGTGCCTGGCAAATGAGACAGCTGAGCCCCTGTGGCCACTCATCAGATTCTAAGGTACTATCATGGATAAGATGTTTCACTCATGATTTCCTATCACCTTTTCAAGGTAACACAATGTATTACATGAACCAATTTCATACAAGTAAAAGAAAAACTGGTGAGAAAAAGAGGTCATCTCGGAACTGAGAAATCAGTGTACTCTTTCCTCACTCCCCTCATTCTCACGTGACTCCCCTCTGCCAGTTTTGCATGTCCTTCCTTCTGTACTCCAATGAAATATGCGTCAAGCATCACCCCAGTGTAGACGGTGAAGAATCAAAGCACAACTTGACCACTTCAGGCTGGGGAACCCACATACAGCGGCAAAACATAACCCATCCCAAGAGCATCAAACTTCTGCCAACTTAGCAAAGCCACACTCTGATGATCTGTAGACCAAGAGGTGTTTTACACTTTGAGTGGCACTCCAACTCCAGGAAGGTAAACAGGATGTACAATGTTTTTTTTTCCTCAGAAAGAAGGGGCAGAACAAATGGAAATAAATGCCGACAAAAGCCTCTGGCATCAATCTGATGCAACATCCTAATTTGGGTAACAAAAACAAAACAGTGGGACAATTCTTAATATCTGGGTCTGATTTTCTTCTCATTTAAATTCAATAAAACAGGCCTTACTATATTTTGTTAACATATATTAATTGTATACAATAGTTTCATTATGGCATTTTTTGAACATACATATGGTACTTGGATCAAGCATGGAGGTCCTATCATTATCTTTTGTTTCGTTTCAGGCAGGGTCTCATGTTGCTCAGGCTCCCCACAAACTCACAAGACAGCTGAGGCTGTGATTCTCCCACCTTTAATTTACAATTGTTAGGGCTCTGGGCATATGCCACCATACTTGACACTTTTATCTTAATAGTAAGTAAGGAATCTCAAAGCAGGGAAACTTCTTAGTTGCCTAAAAGCACATAGTATACCTATTTGTCATAAAGTCAGGGTCTTAACTTGGGGCTATTCTTTTAGTTTCTAGATATACTAATACAGAGAATAATAATAAGCAAAATGTGACAGAGGCTATTCTAGGCAGGGAGTGGGAGAGGGCATAGAAAAAGGGACATACCAGAGATAGAAGAAAGTGCCAGCACATAAACTTCATAAGTCATTATCTCCGCAACACTGTCTACAACCTCAGTTCAATTGCTCAATATTTCTGTCTTCACAATGTTCAAATAAGAAAACTAGTAGACAATTTTTATATTGTGATAACTGTTAAAGAATAAAAGGTAAAGATGTCTGCCCTCAAAAATTATGAAAACCAACAGGAAAAACACAGGCAGCAAGCAGCAGGTGAACACGTCATTTCTTAACTATTTGTCTTGTCTTCCCTATCATACATACATGTATGTGCTACTTGCACACCATATACAATATATTAAAAACTACAAAGAGCCACAAAAAGAATAAAGATGTCCAGCTGGGCTCTGCTCTAGACATACCTGCTTGTGGGTCCTGGTTGAAACGGCAATATTTGGAGATGTCAAGAGAAGGCAGGCACTGCTCAATGGGCACCCAGACATACGTCTCAGGACACAGCAAATCAGAAGGTCTATACTGACCCTAAAGAGAAGCGAAGACAAAAGACACGGGCATTATAAACACTAACTCCTGAGTTCTGAGGCTCCAAAGGGAAAGATATGGTGACAGGCTTAATGCCAACCAAAAGGCTTTGCCATATTTAGAGAATGCATATGTAATGTAAGGCCCTCTAAAAGTGACATGTCAACATTTAGCAGGCAATTTTGATTCAGAAGTTGAGTTTTTACTCTTTTGGAAGAAATAAAGTTGTCTTTGAAAAGCTAGTGAGGAACAGAGCGAAGCTTTTTTTGCATATATTAGAGAACCATACAAAGCCATATAAAGAAAACTTGTTTTCAAAAGAAGAATTTTACTGTTCTCAATCACTAACTCTTTAGTTTTATATCTCAAGGCTGATAATATTCAGGTCACGCTAATGTTTTAAATAGTAGAGTGCTAGTAATACTCATTTACTGTCAATCTAGTGAATGTACAATAAAAGCTTAAAATAGAAATTCTAACAAAACTTCTATGATAATATAAATTCAAAAATTCTATTTTGCCGGGCGGTGGTGGCGCACGCCTTTAATCCCAGCACTTGGGAGGCAGAGGCAGGCGGATCTCTGTGAGTTCAAGGCTAGGCTGGACCGATAGCCTCCAAAACAATAAAGAGAAACCCTGTCTCGTAAAAACAAAAACAAAAAAAAATTCTATTTTACAAAATTATGTAGAAAAGTTACATACTTCAAGCATACAACACTATAATATTTGCTGAAAGAAATAAATCATTTATGGATAATATATAGTTAAGAAAGAAATATACAAACTGTAAAAAGCATTAGTGAATTTTTTTTAGAAAAAAAGTTTTATGCTCTTTGAACTTACTTAAAATTCCGAATGTCTTATCTCTGAATATTAAAATTCAAATTTGATATGCAAGTTAAAATCTAGTACAGTCATTTTTAAGTTTTTTACAATTCAGTGTAAGAAATTTCAATACAAGAAACAATCCAACCTAATTTCTCTTGTATTTACTAAAAGGCCTCAATATGATTTTTTAAACATTCTTCACTTCCCCTGACTAAAAGTGTCCCATGCTAAATGTTCTCAGCTTGTCATGTGCCAGAGCCACAATTTTCAATATTAAAGTTTTATATTGTTATTTACTCTTCAGAAAATCTAATCTCTCATCACTCCATTTGCAGAATCTTCTCCATTTTGTTTATTATCCTAGAATTCTCAATTTGGTGCAACAATATAACCAACATGAATTTAAAAACTAGTAAAAATTGAAGAGCATATTTTCATGTAGTAACAGAACATTTAAGAACCTCCAAGAATATCTAGTGAGAAAAGTATTTTAAATAATAACTAAAATTACAAGTGTCTAAACTCTCCTATTTTCTAACTTGCAGTTGAAGTAAAGGCCAACATTGGGGGTGAAGGTAATCAGACTTCATCTCTGAGCCCTGAAGGTTGAAATAATTAGACGTTTCCTTTAAGCATCGTCCATAAGTACACGTAGATTCATGAGCAAACACCTGGAATGAGGGTCTGAATCTAACAACAATACTGAAAAAAAGACTTAGTGAAACAGCAGACTGGAACAAAAAGATGGACAAAGTCATGCTTTTAGATAACTGGCAATGAATGCACTGGAGTGACCTAGTTGCACCAAGTTTAGGTACACATAAATTATGTGTGACAGGCACACGTCCTCATTGTACCTGGGCCTCACAATGTTCTCTGAAGGTCCTATTCGCTCACATGAGAGTTCTGCATTTACTTTTAATGCTTTAAACATTTACCTGACTAAGAAATCAGAAATACATTTCGACTTCTTTGTATCATTTGAAATCAAATTTGTTAACTACATTAAACACTATTCTCCAAAGTATGGGTTTCTTTCAATACTTCAAATATTCTCTCAAGCCATCCATCAAAGAATGCAGTTTTATGGAATAAACTTGTGAAGTATTGTCTTTCTAAACTAAGCTGGTTAAGTTATGTCACTGAAGTGTTTAGCACTCAATTCAGAGCCACCATCACACAAGTGAAACCCACAGGATGTGAAAGCTACCCTGTCTGTCCCCTATTGTAAGAAAATGAGAAATGTTTGTATTAAGAATGTAATTACTTAAGGATTTGGACATACTTTCCTGGGGTCAAAAGAAAAAATATTTAATCAACCTCTAAGTACACTCATTCAGATTGAACAATGAAATAAAAGCAGATTAATTCTTTCCTAGGGTGCTGAATTTGGGTAAATGAGAAATGTGAATTACCACAATTTCTGAAGTACTCAGAATTCTGAAAATGTAACATTTGACAGCTTACTCCACAGCTTTCTGAGGAGTTCTTTCAAAGTGATGAACGGTTCAGAAGAGAAGTGACTAAAGAAGAGTTATTATTTTACCACAAATATAGCTATAATACTCAGTAATTGTCTTTTTAATGAAACTGCTTAAGGCTACTGTAAAATAAAACCCAAAGCCACCAAGGAAAAGAGAGAGAGTACAACATGGCAATACAATATTTCAACTTTACTAGGTTGCCATAGAATAAGAGTTTAGAAAGTGTTACAGTTAAATCTAAAACATGTTTTCAAGGAAAAACCCTCCAAACCCTAGCTAAACATATTTCCTGCTCAATGTCTATTAGAAAGACTGTCTTCCAGAAGAGGGACTGCTTGCTTTGGTTTTGGTCTATGCGATGAACAAAGGCATTCTTCTCACTTGTGTGCTTTAGGTCATAATTTGAAGGTCATTACCATATTGACCTGATTTTCCACCTTATGAAAGAGCCACCAAATAAATTATGTAAAAAATACATTAGCAAAATAAGCAGAATTCAGCCTAAAAACTATATTCATTTTTGATAACCAGAGGTTAAAGTATCTCATCATCATGGCTGGAGAGTTGGCTCAGTGGTTAAGAGCACTTGCTGCTCCTCTAGAGGACCTGAATTCAATTTCCACCACCTATGTGGTGGCTCACAATCATCTGCAACTCTAGTTCCAGGAAATCTAATACCCTCTCAGGCCTCCACAGGCACAGACATACATACAGGCAAAACACCGAAAAAGATATAGCATTTTTAAAAAACTATCTCACTGTCACATCCTACTCAATATGTATGTAGAGTATGAAAAATACAGCAATAGCCTGTCAGTAATAATACTTTAAAATACACTGATATTTTATTACTTCCAGTGAAACAGAGCGAACAACGCTTAGGCATTTTCCTCTAATTAAGACACATCTAGTTAGAAATCTAATCTCCAGGGGCAAATAAGTGTCTGATGATATGAAGCAGCAGCAAGAAATGGTTCTAGGAAGCTCTAAGTATCAGTTTTGTCATGTTTGTACTAATGGGATCCATAAACTATCAAAATCTCCAAATGAGCACAGGGTCCACTATTTCTTTCCTTTTTCAAAACTGTACAGCCTTCATCCCTGTGTTTTCTATCACATCCTAAAGAAATTTAGACTCATGAGCCCTCACTGCCTTACCCTCCCACAGTGTATAGACAATCCATTTAAAAACGAAAGGTCCAGAAGTGGGTAATGAAGCTTACCACCAAGTCTGGTGGCCAGAGCGCATCCCTAGAATCCACATAGTGGAAGGAGACAACCAACTTTCTCAAATTGTTTTCTGACTTTTTTGGGGGGGGGTCTGACTTCTACATACATACTATAGCATGTAAGATTCCCGCCCTAACCCTCAACCCCTGCCCACAACGTTAAAAAAAAAATAGTTAAAAATAAATAGTGTAGTATTCCCTCATATTACCAGGCATATTTGATTTCCATGCATGCTTGATTTGCAGCAGAGCAATCTACAAGGCCCTAGATGATGCAGTCATTACTCTTTCATCCTGGTTTTCAGCAACTGCCCCCTCTTCCATTGTGTCAATTTAGCTACAGTGGTTTCTTTGTAGTCCCTGGAACATACCAGGCCTGCATACACCTCAGGGCTTCTCAATATGTCCCTCTCTGGACTGAGTCATTCTTACGCCTATGTTTGTTTGTTTGTGTACATATAGTATAAGGGACCTTTTACGCTTGTTGCACAAACCCTATACCGTGGAACTACATTAAATCCCTAAAAAGAACTTTTTAAATTATGCAACAGGATCTCAGTAAGTTGTCCTGAGAAGCCGTGAACTTGGAACCCTCCTGTCTCATGCTCTTGAGCAGCTGGAATTACAGGACTTCACCACCAGGCCCAGTCTTATACCTACTTTAAGTTTTTCTCAATGTCATACACGGAATGAAACACACCAATCCTCCTTACTATTTTTCACCTGTAGGCCATATAAACACTCTTGTTTGCTTTTGTCATTTTGTACCTATCTAAAACTTCTTGTTATAATGTAGGGTCAGAGCTTTTATTTTCAGTAGACAAACGGTAGATGAATCAAAAATGAATCTAGCACCACATTCCACCTTTATTTATTTTTATAAATACAGTGGTGTCCTGATTTATGTATGACTATGACATGCAGGAGACAATATTTGTTGAATTCATACTCTGGATACAGCTCTACCATTCCTGTATTGTTTAAAACTAGCTTCTTCCCCTTGAGAAAACTCAAATGCCGAAAGGCCAAGTTCATTATCATGACAAGGTCTATAAACGTCACTGAAATTAAAGAGGTTTCATACTCAACAAAGTTAGAAACTACTGGCTCATGTCAATTTCACTTTTTTTTTTCTCAAAGCATTTATTTTTAAAAACCTTGCACTTTCTTTTCAAAGAAGAGCATGGCTTTTCCTATTAAGCTTCACTTAAATGAAGACAACAGAGGGAAGGAGTAAAATGCAACTTGAGAAAGAGCCTCTTCACTAATGTTGGTAAAGATGGTAGAGATAATAATAATGTTTTCTCCCTGTATTGGTTATGAGCACAGTCCTCAAGTTGAAGAGGCAGTTTGTTGGGTTCAATTCCCAGCACCTACATGGATGCTCACAACTGTCTATAATTCCACTTTCAGATGATCCAACACCCTCTTCTGACCTCCGCAGGCCCCAGGTATGCAC